GCGGGGAGGGGGGGGACGAGGTGCAAGAGCCCCCCTGGGCACCGCGAGGGCTCCAGCGGGAGGACCCAAGAGCTGCCTGAGGCCTGTCCCATTCGTGACACCTGTGGAGCTCCGGGGGAGGCTCTGGCCACGGGGCTCCCGCGGCCTCTGCGGGACTCGGGGCCCTCCGGTGCCGCACGCGGAGCAGCTGCTGCTCCCTCACGGACGGCTCCAAGGGGAACATTTGGGTCACGGGCAGCAGCTGCGGCTTCGGGAACGCGGAGCCGGAGCGAGTACTTCCAAGGAGCTCCATGAGCGGGGCCGGCGCTGGCCCCTATTGCTGCTCCCAAGGCCTGGAAAGCCGGTCCCAGCCTCCTCCCTGGCCTACTGGAGCCAACGGGGAATGGAGGCACCGGCAGAGCAGCCTGTGCAGCAGGGGAGGGACACAGGGACACAGGGACAATGGAGGGGGCGAAGGCAGAGGGATGGAAGGATGCAGGGAATGAGGATGGAAGGGTGGAGAGACATGGAGTGAGGGACAGAGGGATACGTGGGTGGAAGGACAGAAATGCAGGGACAATGGAAGGATGCAGGACTGCAGGGACAAGGGACGTAAGGATGGAGGGAGCCAGCCTCCTCCCTGGCCTACTGGAGCCAACGGGGAATGGAGGCACCGGCAGAGCAGCCTGTGCAGCAGGGGAGGGACATGGGGACACAGGGACACGGGGACAATGGAGGGGGTGAAGGCAGAGGGATGGAAGGATGCAGGGAATGAGGATGGAAGGGTGGAGAGACATAGAGTGAGGGACAGAGGGATACCTGGGTGGAAGGACAGAGATGCAGGGACAAGGGACATAAGGATGGAGGGACTGAGGGCTGCAGGGCTGGAGCTGCAGGGTGGAGGGATGCAGGGACATGGGATGGAGGGATGCAGGGAAGCAGGGATGCAGGGACATGAGGAGGGAGCAACATTGGGATGGAGGGACATGGGGAGGGAGGCTTGGGGCAGGCAAGGACAGGGGTAGCTGGCAGGGCCCTCCTGCCACGTGGCAGCTGATGGAGCGAAATGGCTGTGAGGACGTCGTTAATGGGGCCCCGAGCAGATGGAAGGACCCTTAATTGCTAATTAAATCGCAGGCTGGCAGGCGAGCTGGAGCAGCCGCCGGGCCCCGCAGCCGCCGAGGGGGGAGGCAGAGCCAGTCTTGGGGTGTCCCCAGCAGAGACATAGGGACAAGTGGCGCTCAAGGGGCCAAGGACATTGGAGACAGGGTGCTGCTTTCTCCGTCCATACATCCCCTCCATCTACACATCCCCTCAGCCCAAGCATCTCCTCCATTCCCCATGTCACCTCTATCTACCTCACCTCTATCTACACGGTCCCCTCTGTGTCCCCACTGCAAGCCCCCTTCATCTACATGTCCCTTGAGCCACGTCCGTGTTGTCCCCTCCCTGCCCACGTGCCCCTGACCCCTGTGTCCCCTCCATTGCCCCACAGCCCCCAGGGGTGACCGCTCTCGCGAGGGGTGAAGGCAGCGAGGTCGTTGCTTCCATCTGGCCACTGCTCGTCCCTGTCCCCACTGTCACTGCCACCCCCGCTCCTCGTTACGACGGGCTGGAAGGGGGTTAATTTTATTTTTCTGTCATTATCACCGGGAATGTTGGAG